TAAAAAAATAAAATTGAAATTTATTGGATAAATATTAATTAAAAGATGTGACCAAAAATTAAAAAATTAAAATAGATAAATTTGTCAATAAAATTAAAAAATTCTAATCCACTAGCGGTTTGGTACAAAAAACTACATAAACTAACTTTTTCAATCCGTTAGCATTTTAGACCATAACCACTATCCGTTAGTCTCAAACCACTAAATAAAAATTTTATTTAACGCTTTATTTATAATGGTTTCAAAATATATAAATTTACCAAACACCTATATTTAGCAGTTTAAGTAAAACCGCAAACCGCTACGATAAAACCATTATACCGAATAAGCCCTAAGGCCCCTTAGTAAACATTTTAATAGTTAAAATTTCAAGTTGAAAAATTTGGAAAATTATGCATATGAATTTCAATATAAGATTTCTATTGAACTTAAAATTAATTGACAATAAATGAAGTAATTATTCTTATATTTAATTCATATATTTTTTTATTATATATTTAATGTGAGATTTTTTTTACTTAACAAAAATAAAAAGCTATAATAGCTCATTATCCAACATGGATAAAAAATTAATAATAGACGTACTACAAAAATTATCCTCATCAATGTATGAAGGGTTTAGATCATAAGAAGCAAATAAGATACAAATAAAAGATGATAGGAACCAAAAAGAAGTAAAAATTAAGATGTGTTGGTATTTAAAATGTCATGAATAATAATAAAAATATTTAAGTATTCTTAATGAATTAACATATAAAAAGATAATTAGAGTTGTTGACAAGTTCAGTACTTAGGTACTCATGCTCACTTTAACTTGAATTTGAGTTTTTTTTCTATAATTTCAGACTGTTTCAATAGCTAATTATTCAACTATAAAAGTTTTTACATTTTTCAAAAATATTATAGTACCAAAAGTTTAAACATATTAAGTCCAAGGAAAAAAAAAACCATAAACTCCATTTGAATATTTTTATTAATAGTTATAAATCAAAATATGTAACTTATTTAAGTTACTTTTTCAACTTTATTAAGTTTTCAAGTTATTATAGATTTAAATTTAATAAATAAATGAAGAAGAATCTATTTATAGATAAAACTTACACATTACACTTATATAAAATTTTAATCATTTATATTTCAATTCAACTTTCAACGGTTAAAATTTATCATTATTTTTTTTATAAAAAAAACAATTATTTTTAATAAATGTAAATAAATTTCAACTATTAAAAGTGAAAAGATAAATATTTAAAATTTTATGTAAATTTAATACATAAAACATGTATAAATGAATCCTTATTCTAAATAAATAAATAATATAATTTTTAATTATAAATTAATTATTTATGAATAATTCGCGAGTAACTATAACCAATTTTCCCTTTTAGAAATTAAATTGTTTTTGTAATTATAACAAATTATATTAAATTTACTCACTTGTGTCCCAATCATAAGTTGTCAATAAGAGCGTTTTTGGCATTTCTCTTCATTTTTGAATCTTCTTTTGAAGGAATATTGATTCTTTTTTAATATTGTTATTTTAGGAATTGATTATTCTTAAATCTTGTAATGTCTTAAACATTATCTCTAATCTTGAAATATAAAGATTTGACCATGAGAACCCAATGAAATTCTATTATTTATAATATACAGTCTGAAAGGGATCTGTGATGTGCACATTCAAATCGTTTATTTCATTTGTCTCTAATTCCTTGTAAATTTCCAAGTCAACTGCTAATGTTCTTTTCTTTGTTCTCACACGGTTTTTCTTCATCTTTCAATACCTGAAAGCTTAAAAGCCATGGATCTCCCATCCCGCTTCCCCAAATTGCAGACTGTTCAACAAAAAAAGTCATGGATCTGAATCCTGAGAAGGGAAGTGAGAGGAAGAAAGCCACCCCCCCAATGGAAGATCTGCCTAGAAAAGGGTTGGATGGATCTTCTTCCCTCAGAAGTGATCATCGACATTCTATCGAGACTACCCATCACCTCCCTTGCTCAGTTCAAGATAACGTTCTCTTCCGGCCGTGCTTTAGCTGCCGATCGGAGACTCCCTGCCATGTTCCTCAACTGGGTCAGTGATGCTAACCCATATCTGATCATGATCAACCTTGACCCATCTGCTGGCAAGCAACTATACTTTGTGGAAAGTGATGTCCCGGATGAAGGGTATAGCAATACTACAAGAAAAACCAATCCTTTGAGAAAAGTTTCTAACTTTGATTTGGTGGGTTGTTGTAATGGATTGTTATGCACATACATTCCCAGATACTACTGTTCAAAGAAGTTCGTGGGTTGCAGATTTGCAATCCTTTTGTTAGAGATTCTCATTCTATAGAGTTGCCTATCCCCAATCGGTTTATGAACCAAAGGGAAGTCTTTGGATTTGGGTTTCATCCAAGGAGTAGAGAATTCAAAGTGATTAGAATTGTGTTCTATGACCTGATCATGACAGGGCAAGAAGCAATGGTGACTGTCCACAACTCAGAGGTTCAGGTGTTTACCACTGGAACAACAGAATGGAGGAAGAAGGGAGCTTCACCATATCTATTTGAACCAAAACCATCAGAGGCTTTGGTGGAAGGATCTCTGCATTGGACTCTTCCAAGCCTGGGCTACCCCTGCATCATCTCCTTTGAGTTGGCTGAGGAAGCTTTTCAGAAAATCCCACTGCCTCGTATTGGATTTTACTCTACAGCTTATCATCTTTGCGTGCTTAATGGGCGCCTATCCATTGCTGGATTCATCCATGGCTGCCAATTGGACATCTGGGTGATGAAGGAATACAATGTGAAGGAATCCTGGGTTAAAGAATTCTGTATTACAACAAATTATGCTCCTTTGTTCTTCTTCGATGGGCAGAATAATGCTCCTCTAGGAATGTTGATTGAAGATCTTGCTTCAAGCTGGGTGGGAAGATGCGTAAGGGTATTGTGTGTCTTGAAGAACGGTGAGATTGTGTTGGAGTGTAACAAGAAGGCTCTGGTTTCTTATGATCCTGAAACTAACAGGTTCAACGCTTTAAAGATCAACCGTTTGCCGCAGCAGTCCCAAATCTTTGATTTCTAACCTACACTGTTCTCAGCAAAGGAAACCATTGAATTAAAATGAAGCTTTAACCTTCACTACTCATATATAATTTCCTTTTTTTTTTTTACTAACCTCCAGTGTCCGTAACGACATTAGGTCCTCCTAATTAATTTAGAATCGAATCGCATCAAATCCATTAAAGGGAAAGTTCTTTCGGCACTTATTTCTCCATACACAAGACTTAAACTTGAAATTTTGTTTAAGTAAACCAAACTCTTTTCATTTAGATCAATAAATCGTTAGTATAATTTCTTGTGTTTAAGTGAGACTTCTGTTGGATATAAATATTACTGATCATGTTTTGAAGTTAGTCGAAGATGGATTAGAGTCTGCAGGCAGGAATGTAGTTGAAGTTGGCACTCAAGGCAAGCAGAATACTAGAATTTCAGGTTTTCCACTACAATTTTGTTCCTCTGCTAGATGAAGTAATTGTCATATAACTATTAATAGTTGGGTATTGACTATTTTCTATATTTGAACTACTAATTCTAAGCCTCATTGATGGAATAATATAAACAAAAAGAAAAAGGAATATTGCGTATTTAGTACAGCACTTTAATGTATAATATTTATTATTGAATGAGAAGATAGATCCTTAATATTACAAATTACCTCTCTATCTAATAATTTATGTTTTACAATTTTAGTGCTTTTGGGATTGCAATTGGGAACTCTTAAATAAATTCTAAAAAGGAAATTTGATGGACATTTCTTTTTCTTTTTTTCGTTTTTATGTAATTTATTTGAAATTAACTCATCATATAACACTCCTTTTATTCAACTCTAATAGAGTTAGTTTTAGTTTGACAACACTAGCATGTATATGTAGTTGTAGGTTTTTTGATTTTTTAATATTTTAAATATATATAATATATATTAATATATTTAATATCTATTTTAATTAACCTTTTATATATTTTAAAAATATTAAAAAGACTAAAAATCAAAAACTAAAGTATCAAGAAGTGTTATAAAAAATCAAACTCAAATTACTAAAGTTGAATGAAGATCACAGACGTGGGATTCTATTTTGTAGCACTGCGGTTTCTTTAGCGAATAAGAGCCGCGCAGGGCATAGCATAGGATAGACTGGCAAGATTAAAATAAGACTTGGAAGCGGACAAAGACCTAGTCTCCTGTTAAATCTTCATTAACTCAACCAATGCTTCCTTCATTATATATCTTCAACGCCAGAAACTGAAAGCTTCAAATTCATGGATTTGAGTCCTAAGAAGGGAATCCAGAGGAAGAAAGCTACCCCGCAGCAGTTCCAAGCTTTTGGTTTTCAGCTTACTCTGTTCTCAGTAAAGGAAACCGTTGAAATGAAGGATTTATTACATCTTCACAACTCTTCCATAGAGTATGACTATATAATTTTCTCTGTTTTGCAGTTACTTGAAGTCGTGATGCACCCACACCAAACAGAATACTGACAGGTTTCAATCTATAATTTTTGTTTTGAAGAAATTGACAATTTGGGAATGAAATATGTCAAATAAAAGAAGGCTATTCCAGGTTTACATCAACTATATATGATTTTGCTCTTCTCCTACATGAAAAATTGTCAATTTGGCAATATATATATATATATATATATACATATATATAACAATGAATTAAATAACACACTATCATTAATGAACTAAGGAAATTACCGTTGATATATGAAGGGCTATGATAATAAGAAGCAAACAGTGCATTTATTTATTTATTCATAATAAAATGAAAATTATAACATTGAGGTTATTTGACAAGACTTAAAAAGGTAATTTTTTAAAAAAATTTGAAATTCCTATGCATAAAATATCAAAAATTGGCTTTTAAAGACGTTTTTAAGTAAATTAAAAAAAATTTAGATATGTAATTCTTTTAAAACTTGTTTAAATGTCACTTTAAATACTAATTTTTAAATGGCGAATCATGCAAATTAGCCCTTGAACATGGCAAGAGGTGGCAAAAAAGCCCCTTAACTAAAATCAGTAGCAAATGACCCCTTAAACTCATGAATGATGGCAAATCACAGCCCTTGTTTAACGGCTATGTCATATTCCGTTAAAAACTAACGGTTCTCTAATATAAATCAATTCCACAGCTTACTTGCACGTAATGTGCCCCATTGAAGTTTGACATCGCCTCTCATTTCATTAAATCATTAATATTTTTGAATTTTCTTAAATATTCAGTAAAAATTTAATTATTGAAATTTTTTTCATACATTAAAATCTAATTACTTACAATGAAAATCAATTGTATTAATTAAATTTCAATTGTCACTTTGTCAAGCAAATAAGAATCGAAAATTCTAGGTATTGGAGGATGGTTTCACAATTAAGTAACATTCTTTTTGTTTATAAGAATTATCTCAATTTAAAAATTATAAGGAACTAATTATAAATTTAAAATTTAGAAAAAAAAATAATTTGAAAGAAGAGAAATTGAGAAATACCAAA